CCCGTTGGCCCGTAATCCTAACGACCTCCTTGACTCACAATATGCCTTCAATCCTAACATCCCGAAGCTCAGTCCTCAAATCCGCAGCCCAGTCGCCACCTCAAAGATTTCCCATTTTGGCAACCATGCCCCGCCACAGTCCGTGAGCCGGCGCCTCGTCTCGGCAGACCGCCATACGACCTCTGAATGGACCAAATCAAACGCCAGATCGGTCGCATGCAAATCGCCCGCCGCGCTGAGACTGCATGAAGGTTGGCCGGGCGGGGTCGGCGGGCGGCTGAGCTGTGAGGTCGTCGAGCGCCGCCCTCACCGCTCGGACGCTCGGCCGCCCGCCGCCGTCTATAGGTACTGATTGGGCCGCTCGAGTAACGACAGGCTGACAAATTGTCGGCCACTGACAGAGGCGCAGACACCGGCGGCATTGGGAACACAGCTGGCGCTCATTGGACAGGGCGCGGTGGGCTGAGGGGAAGGATGCGGATTGCTGACGACTCTTTTACAAACATCATAGTCGGTAGCTGGAATGAAACGGTTACCAAAACAGATACAAATTTCGATGCAAATTTGTCGGTGGATTGCCGTATTACCAATGCTGGAAGACCTACACATAACGAGTGTAGATGGAAACATTTAACAATGAGAATCTTTACAAACTAATTCTAGCCGAGGGCCAGCTACATGAGATGTAGCAAACCAAAGTGGGCGAGTTCTCCCTACCAGACAGTCATTTCCAGAGAGCACATGGTCCCTGTTGTCCCGCAGTCTACATTGCTCGCATTGCTCGGACGTCACCGTCTCATGTCGGCAAGCTGCTGCCGCTGCCATCGTCGGGATGCAGCCGCCTCAGCCAAGGTCACCGGGCGGGGGCGGGGGCGGGGGCGGCCGACCTCCGCGGAGCTCCGGGCCGCCGCCGGCGGTATGCAGGGGCACAGAGGAGGCTCGGTGCCCCCACCCGGTCCCCCTGCGACTCAGACTGGGCGTTGGAGCGACAGTGGCGAAAGAATGTATAGAGAAGAGAATACGCTGATGACGGAAAGGAGAAACACTAGAAGTATCAGTATTTTGCGCAAGTCCGAAATTTTTTGAGTTAGCATACGAGATGCCTTAGCTGGCAAGCGTCCTAAGCATGGCCTGGGGCATCGCCCCAGCGAGGACAGGCATGTGTGCAATTCGCGGGGCGATGCGGGGCGGGCAGGAAGGAATTAAGGTACGGGTACCACCAATGAAAGGTGTGGGAAGTGTGTAAATGAATGTGTCATGCGGAAGGTACTGAAAATAAAAGTGAGCATTGAAAAAAGCGTCCTAAGCATCAAACAGTGTTTTTGTGTAATCCACTGATTTTCACCAGTTCAGTTTTTGTGAGACATCTAACACCTAAAATCTACTGAATTCAATGAGCAGGCAAGTATTTCAAATTCAGCAATGCTGCATACATGCCCTACCAAAAATGTCATCACAGCAGCAAATGACGCTGCATGTTAGCTCATGAGCGATTAACACGGTGATACCTGAGAAATCCGATTCAGTGAGTCTCTTTGTCGATCTAACCGCAAGCATTTTTTCCAATCAAATATGGCCTTATGGGTAATGGCTATCATTACTCGCCACCTTTTTACGGCTACCAGTTGAAAGCGGATTGCTTAAAGTGCAGCTCACACAACTCAGTCCGGAAAACCCTTCGTAGAAAACAATAATACTACCGCTACTTCAGGATTTCATAATGCTCACTAAAACCGAGATATGCGACACCATAATTATGCCGCCTTCAGGAACCGTTGAGCATTCCTTCATCCAGTGGCCGGTCTATTATTTTCAACGAAACCCGGCTGCGATCGGAGCATTCTTGTGCCTAGTTCGCCGCGTATGGCCTGAAGCGCGCCCGGCCAGTTGCAGACGACCCTGCTGGATGACGTCAGGAGACGTGTGCGCCACATTCCTGCAATAATCACCCTAATTGCCAGATGATTCGACGATACTGGCGGAGTAATGCCAAATGCAGCGCAGCTTTGGTACTATCGATGCCATTTACGGCCGACCACACACATCGACGACGCGCTGTGTGTAAAAAACTAGCATGATGCCATTAAAAAATAGATATTTAAGTCATTTAGAGAAGCACAGCTGGATCCCGCAACTATGTACATGTGACAATCCACACTCCACGCAGTGAAATAAGCCAAAAGACACTTTAGTTTTGTCAGCCAGAGTTGATCACCAACTATGAGGAGCTGGTCAGGCCAGGAGCCGATAAGACAAGGAGCGGATAAGACCAGGGTAGGGTTAGGTGCTGATCGGAGCAGTCTACTATGGACGTCAAACCCCTTGAGACCCCACTTTTTTGCGATAATTTTTAAATGCGTCAACTCTCGTTGACAATATTCTGGCTATGTGTGTTTTAGAACCTGCCGAAACTTTTATTACTAAGGTATTTTGACGCCAAACGATTATGAAAGGTACTTCTCATTCACTCGTAATGTTAAATTTCACGGAACGAATCTGCTGTTTGGGTAGAGGCTACGCGCTCATGGGGCGGAGCCACGCAATGACGTCAGCGCTAAGCTCCGCCCTACCCCTCCGGCGCCCCTTGCCCGGCGACCGGTCACTCGCGTCTCTCGCTCCATTCAGGCTTGATGGTGGGTGGTAGCTGGTAGCGGTAGCGGGCGCTGGTAGATGGCATTTAGAGCAGATGGCGCTGGTGGCGGGGCTCGAGTGTGGCCTAGCGCAAGCCTCTGCCCGGGCCTGAATTGACCTTAGCATTACGAGTGAATGAGAAGTACCTTCCATAATCGTTTGGCGTCAAAATACCTTAGTAATAAAAGTTTCGGCAGGTTCTGAAACATACATTGCCAGAATATTGTCAACGAAAGTTGACGCATTTAAAAATTATCGCAAAAAAGTGGGGTCTCAAGGGGTTTGACGTTCATAGTAGGACCCTGCTGCAGGGCGGCAGAGCGGGCTCAATTGGCCGCTGATGGGTGCCGCGTGGCTCTGATGGATAGCGGTCGATTATCCCTCCCCGGTGACACTCCTACTGACCGATCACCGGCGGGGCCTTCAGCTGGCGGGCCGGCCCGGCGGGGTCACCCAGGGGACAAGGACAGACGCTGACCCAGGCCCGGCGCCGCCAGCCGTCGGCATTGTCCTCAGAGAGCCGCAGTGGCCCGCCCCAGCCGGCGCATCGGCCGGTAACTGGCGATTTGTCATGGTGTGACCGATCACACGGGGAGGAGAGCGGGAGATACAGAGGGAGAAGGAGAGGAGAGGGAGGGAGGGGAGACTGGCTGGGGCGGTGGCAGAGTCAGGCTGGGAAGGGTTAGGTTAGCAACAGCGTCACATCCATCCGTCTCGGGTGACACGTGTCACAGCTATCAGGGACGTCCAGACGCGGCCACGGCCGGAGCGATGGGGCCATGACGTGGCCGGGTCACCGCTGCCCTCCAGGGGAGCCTGTCCGTCTGAGGCCGGCCGGGCTACGTCAGCCGGCAGATACGGCAGCTGCGCAGGCACGGGACGCTGCACGGCGCTGCGACAGCCCGCCGGGCGCTCCGTAAACACCTCAGCGGGGCCGCCAGGGGAGCGGGCGAGCGGCTGAGGCGGCCCAGAGAGGCGGAGCGAGGCGGCGAGGATGAGAGAGATGGCCAGGAGGCGACACAGCGCGTCTTTTCGGCTCCGGCCGGGCGTGTGATTGAAACGCGCCGGTCGGATGAATTATGCAGGTGAAGAAATCCAGTCACTTTCACAGGAGATATTTACTCGATTTCGGGTCCCAGGGATCGGTTCAGGAGAAGATACAGATGCACTGCTACAGTTACACATGGGTTGATATTTATGGGGCAGTTTACGGGTACGGCATGTTTTACAGATGCTTCTGCTACTTTTCAGTCGATTCACATATCATGATGCACTCCAGACTGGCGATTGAAATTACGTTTTCACGCTAATCCAAATGGTTATGAAAAATAATCGACTGGGCTCCGTAAAAGCCTCTCTGCATTTTCCCCTCGAGTTGGCGACAGCCAAGCCACTCTCCAAACATAGACGACAGACTTCCAAGCCAAGTGATGGATATTTTGAAAGCCGGCTGCGTGTGGCGAGTGTCACAATACAAATTCATTCGCTTGCCTTTGGGATTTCCTCGCGCCATAATCTTCTAGATACTATCACATATGTCAGAAGAAGCACTACCATATACGCTGTAATGGGTAGAGCGCACAAGCATCAGCATTTCATCTGCTCCCAGTTGCCTCAGCAAACATTCCAGAGCTGTTGTGGACACTAGAGCAACATGGATAAGGATGAGGTCGCCAGAAATTCTCAGATCGATGTTTTGGTACATGTGCCACACCTCAGCAGAGCTGGGAACTTTCCCACATCAGCACCCGTGGTCCTCCACTAGAAATGCCGTACTCCGAATGCAGGCTACCAGACACCGGTGACTGGCTTGGTCTCGTCTAAAATCGGTTAGAAGGCAGGGTTAGACGGTTGGTCCTGATTGAAAAGTTTACAAAATAATTACTTGCAGCCTTCCTGAAATACGAATTCAAACAGATAAACTAATATACAGCACATTAGAGAGAGAAAATATATGAAAAAATGACCTCTCCTCGACATTTAAAATTATTTGAATGGCCAAATATTTTTGTATTGATATTTCGACCAACAGGTCTTCTTCAGAATAAGACAATGTACACAATTGTACGAGAACGAGAATACAATAATTGATGCAGCAGACTTATTCCCGCGGTTTTCAAATTCAAAAATTAGATTTTTGAATTAAAAATTCGGTTTTCAAAAAAAAAAAAAATTTAAATGTCGAGGAGAGGTCATTTTTTCATATATTTTCTCTCTCTAATATTCATAATGTTCCTCGCAAGAGCGCTCCAAAGAATAATATACAGCACCCTTTAATTAACACCTCGCCGTAACTATGCAGCATAAGCGCTAGAACCGTCATTCGTACCCGGAAGCTGCGTCTCGTCTCGGTGAGTGTCGGGACCTACCTTGCACATGCCGGCGGCGCAGACGTGGTCCTCCCGGTCCGGTCCTCCGTCGGGGGAGCAGCGCGTGCCGTCCCGCACGGCGCGGGCCAGCGTCACGTAGAAGGCGTACCCCACCGGCTGGCAGCTGAGAGCGCACGGCCGCGATTCTGCGGACGGCGGAACGCTGTCACATTACATCTAATACTACAAGAGCTGGACAGTGGACAGGATGTGGTGGCTGGTGACGGCACGGCTCATGTATAACACTCCCACACCATCAGCATACGTTGATTCTCCGATTTCCGCGTAACAGAGTTCACGGGAGCCGCGGCGTTGAGCCTCCTGCCGTGCGGCACAGTATAGCTGCAGGCGTTCGTCACTAGTGACATCTATCGGCAGAAACTCGCATGCACGCACATCGAGAGCGGACTTTGTTTAACAGCGTCGCCTCTCGTATAACGCCTGCAAATCGCTTCTCAAAACTGGAGCTACGGTCAACATCAAGCCATTATATTCAATTGTGCCTTGCAGTTAAAAATATTTCAATCACTAATCTATCAACGATCATTCCAATCAACACAATGCTTCGTTGCCCAAACGGCAACAACGGGAAAATCCCCGTTTCATGAGCTAGCACAGGACCACCGCCCACCATTTTTGACTACACAGTCCATACCACAGTCTTCAATGGGCCTTCAAATAAACACAAACAGCGGCATACCTCTCTGCGGCATCTGAGTCAGGGCCGCGGCATGAGATCACACACGGCGTGTGCGGCGCGAGCGGGGCCTCCTCGGCATCGAACGTCGGCGATAAGTGTCCGTAGCGCGGCGCAGCCACTGATTAATCGGCCCGTGTACGGCCGGCGGCGTGACAAACAGTGACATCAGCGCGCCGCGATCGCCGCCGAGACGGGAGCGTCACACGGCACGCTTCCAGCCGGCGGCGGCGGACCGGGGACGGGTGGTGGCGCGGTTAGCGGTCCCGGTCAGCTCCCTGACAGCTCTGACGAGGGAGACGAGTGACCGCGGCGCGGTGGACAGTCCCTCCTGACTGCCGGGGAGGGTGGAGAGAGCGGAGACACCGGGTCTAGACGTCTTGCTGCATGGTTATCAGCCTCAATCAGACGCCTAATGCCCGCTGATCCGACTCACACGCCTCCAGCAGTTCGTCAAAGTGCCGCCGTGCGGAGCTACCAGCACCGGCTTCCAGACTTGACAGGCTTATATTACCGACAAAAATATCGTAATATGAGAAGTGTTTGGTTATGATACAAATAAAATCCGATCAAACTGAAAGAGCTTAATTAATAAGCTGAAGGCGGCAATTTTGATCTCCTAAGAGCCGTTTCAGGTGCTTATGATGCTGTCAAAAAGACGATCAGCCGGGATTTTTGGAAGACTTAGCCCGGCCCCGGAACAGTAGCATCCGGGATTGCCATCAATTGATAACATTACAGTAACTGCACAGCGAATAAGCCGGTGTAACAAATCTAAAAATAGGCACAGCACGCCATTGGAGGATTGTAAGAAACGATGCACTCCTTCCGTGTTGTCACGACATATGAAAAAAACAAGAATTACACTTAGCGCGTTAAGGCCTACAAAATGCATTTGGTCATATAGTAAATGCAGCGCAACACATTATTTGTTGGCGGTATTGTCGACACGGTGACTTTTAACCCTATTAGTGGCAGGCTCCTGGCTACCCCTATTAGTGGCAGGGGGGGGGGGCTGTTTACGACCCCCCCTTGATATCTCGAGATCTAACGGGCCGATTTTCAAAATTCAAACGGCATTCGATTTCGCTCAACGTGATCTACATTTCTAAAAAATAAAAATTAAAAAATGTCAATAGGGGGGGGGGGGGTAGAGGGGGGTAAAAACGGGCAAATTGCAGATACATTTTAGACTGTTTCTCACGGCCAGGTTTCTGAACCAATCTTAACGCAACTTTTGCCGATCGATAGAGAATGAACCAGGAATTCACATGGATCCTAAAAATATGCATTTTCAAAAATCATAGGCGGATACAGATCATTGAGATTGGGGGTACACAAAAAGTATAGTAAATAAGGTTTTTGTTGGTACTGTTTCTAAAAAGGGTGGTAATGGTCTTGTTATGTTACAATTTTCTTATGAGATAACGACTACAATTGTATTGGTCATGCATAGGCGGTGTCAGGGCACCTATGTTGGGAGGTAAAACATAACCCCCCTTTTTGGACGCCTGGATCCGCCTATTATAGCAAAAACGTGTCAAAAGAGGATGCACAATAACTGTATATGTTATCACATGATACCTTTCATTCACTGTTCGTAAAACTGGTGCAGCGTCGTGATCTTCGCCCAAATGACTCGCTTCACGAATAGGACCCCCCAATTCTCAGTGCTCTGGAGCCGCCCCTGGTAAAGTTATGAACTTGAAATTTTCAGGGAATGTGCCCAATTTAGTTTTAGGAAAAGTCAGAAAATTTCAGCATCGTAGCTTCAGCGGTTTCGGAGATATTCTCGAAAAACCTGAGGGGTGGATAAAAACAACCCCCCCCCCCCCTGCCACTAATAGGGTTAAACGTAGAGCGAAAATATCACCAAAAAAAAAAACACAGTTGCACTTTTTTACTGGCGTCACATCAAATCAGCCGAACGTCAGCTGTCCACGCACCCAGCACCCCTCCCTAACCTCCTCAGCCCCCCCCCCCCATATACACACCCTTGGCCATCGGCCTCGGCCGCTGCCATATACGCCCTAAACATATGCCACCGCTACTTTTACGGACCAGCCACGACGACACCAGCCAGCGAGTCTGAGACGCACCGCCGCAGGAAGTGTGAGCTGTCACTGGGCCGTGGGCCTCGACCGGTCGACTCAACTCTAGGATAGGAACGATACGGAATGGGGGGGGGGCTGTCCTACTCCCCACACGGGCACGCTGGGCAGAGTCGAGAGAGGGGGAGGGGTCGAGCTGACCTGTCAGGAGTCAGATCAGGCCGGGTAGGGCCTGATAGGTATTCTGAATGGGATCTCTGTTGAAAGGGAAAGCGGCCACAGAAGAATAGGTGAAACGAAACGAGGGATTAGTGTTGTGCGTTACGACAGAACGGCCTGGCCATGGAAAACGGTCGGCACATTACAAAACACATATATGGTAGGTATACCTACTCTGTATTTGGATACATCCAGGTATTCAAAGCGACTTTACTCATTCTCATACTGCGTACATATATTTTACGAAATACCAGTGTCTGTGACATCCATTCGTCCGTAAAATTATCGCTTGTGAGCAATACAAACCAAATACCCTCAAACAAAAGCGGCCTCAGCTGCTCAACAATTCTGGGAGCATATCGTGTAGGCTGCAAAGTACCATTCTGACAAGCTCAAAAGTAGGGACTAGAGCGCGAATCCATGAAAATAACGAAAAGGAAAAATGATGCACCCGAGAGGTCGGGCTTACCATGATCGATGGTAGTTCGGCGTCTGTGGATTATCACTTCTCTGCAGCATCAGTTATTAGCTCTATTTCTATCAAGTTCTGTTTTATTTGACGCTACTCGCTATTGGCATGAACGGTTTACAAATTACAAAGATCTTTGATTGAAGCTCTGAGAGATATTATCAATCACAGTTTAGTTTATAACTGAAAGCTTTGCCACGGGGGCATTCCACGTCAAATCAAACACCGAAATCCGTCATCCCCTTCGATTTTTCTGAAAATTTGTAGGCAGACTGGGCATGGTTCAAAACTGAGTTACGTATAATATTTTCGAAATTTGATAAAGTATCGCTGAGATATAGGTCATCGAATATAGCCAAAAATGCCACACATCAATTTTTTAAATGTCTATAACTCTGGTTCCTTTTCTGGTATCAAAATGATATTAACAGAGTCTCGTAGGCAATTGATAAGGCTTTGATTTTTAATTATAAAATTTAATTGAAGTGACATTGAAATGCATTTGACCTTGAACTAAAACAGAAAAATTTAAATAGCAAAAAACACGTCACCTTCGATTCGGGTAATTTTTACATATTATGTCCGTCACAATGTTCCTAACTATCTGTGAAAAAATTGGAGTGGGCCATTCATAACTCTCGCGGCAAACGCCGTTTTCATGCATCAACATCACGCAACCGCGCGTGACCTTGAAAGACAGAGTCAAGACATGCTTGCTTGTGTACACTTTCTGAAATGAATGATTGCTGATTAGTGATATCCCAAACTCCGCGAGAATGTAAATACATAGTCATCGTAGTCAAGCATTCAAGTTCCATAGTAAAAGTGTCTCAGGCAAACGATATTTTGCGGTGAATTTTGAGCCGTGTGGAAATGCATCATGAAGCCAAAAATTCAACGAAAACATTATCACGCAACGATATCTTCACGTCCTTTTACCTTCACTATACGAAAGAATATACATTTTTGAGTATGTATGGGGAATTCCTAGTTAATCCAGTAATAAATATGGCAGTTAGAGTCGAGACCTGCTAAGAGTAACATGTCGCCGGCTGGGGCGGGATCGGCCGACGCGGGAAACGCAGCAATCACAATTTTGTGTTTACACGTTCATATTTCAATTGTTTACCAACCGATTTTCAAAATTCTTACACCATAAGATTGCCTGTACATTTTTTAGTCTTCTCACAAAATTTGACGCGAATCGAACGTAATCAGCGGTAAAGAGCGCGATGTAAAGACGGAACCGTTCCGTTCCGTCCCGGCACAGTCTACAATTCAGGCGGCGGCTAGCGGTCGGCGCCGGCTGCCGAGTCGCCGCGTCGCCGCGGCGACAGGATGTTCACTTTACACCGCTATTACTAGACCAGTTGTGAACCGATTTTCTTCTTGCTTGCACGATGAGATGTGCAACTCAATTTTGAACAGGTAGCTATAATTAATTTCGCATTAATACTATGAGAAATTGGCGAAAAACAGGAGGGGTGGGGCGAAATTCACTCTTCCCCCTCCACTGCGCTTGCTAACATACGTTTGCATATGTGCCATTTTCTTCAAAACTTATGAATTGCCCACTCTAATTTTTTAACAGGTTGTTAAGAATATGGTAGGCAATAAAATATATGAAAATTAGCCAAATCGAAGGTGACGTGTTTTTTGCTATTTCAATTTTTGTGCTTAAGAACAGAGTTAAGCAAATTTCAAGGTCATATATTTAAGTAGGTGCAATTCTAAACAAATGCTTAAGAAATTACCTAAACAGTAAGGTTTATTTCATTCAAATCAAACAAGCACAACCAAAGTTATGGTCGTTCAAAAATATAAAGATGCAACATTTTGTAAAAATTCGATGCCCTATATTTAGAAGACCTGTGGTCAGAATGTGCAAAAAACATCAATGTAATGTTCGGGGCGACACAGGAACTCGCTCACAAATTTATAATGAAATCGCTGATGGTAAGGTGCAAAACAGCCGATTTTTGTTCGATTTGACGTGGAATGCCCCCACGCTGCTTTTCCTGCCTCAAGGGTGATACATTTTCGAGACTGTGCCGTCTGGCTGGGCGCGGTGACCCGACCGCCCCGGGCGGCGGTCCACTCAGCCGGCCAATCAGCTGGCGGCCCGGCGTCGGACGTCACGCGTCCGCAGCTCCGGCGGGCCGGCCGCCCCGACCCTACCCGCCCGGTTCCCTACGCGATAGGAAGGGAGCGCGGGCTATCACGAGGAATAACTGAGGACGAGGATGATATGCACTCATTTGTATTGCACTTAGAACAATACGTTGTAAAAACTGGCAATGCGTTGATTACAAAATGCTGTCGTCAGTTTTCAAAATGAAAAGGTACCCCACAGGTAGGAACCATAGCTGAAAACATCAAAGCAAAGGAATGAGATCCACCAGATGAGTTCATTATCTGTGCATTTGACTGAGCTTCGTGGCCAATTAATTGGTTGTAAAACAACTTCCATAGCACGACCGAGATCGCCGATAAAACTGACGTATCACATCATCCACTAGCGAAGGAAAAACGCCACCCTGTCTGTCCCCAGCAAATCGGTGATCTCACCCCATGTAAAGTTGCAGCCAAACCTGTCCGAGGCTCAGCTGGTGACATCTTTATTTTTCTGATCCGAGAAAACACATGCCAAGTCACAACAGAGTCTCGGCGACCTCTCACGATATCACCAAACCCCTATGCTTAGTAGCATGGTGCCAGCGGTGTTCCTTTTGTGGCACCCCAGCACGGCAGAGTTGGGAGGCTCAGCAGACGGGTCAGCACTCGGCGGCCCTCTCCATGTATCAGTCGCGGTCAAGTTGAGGGCAATTGTGTGTCGTTGCTGTACCCGTGACAGGACAACATTAATAACAGAGTTGTCGGCGGCGGGAGAGGGAGGGAGGGAGGGAGACTTGGGATGGCAAGCGCCGTCTGCCATTCGCCTGCAGAACACAACAAACAGCGCCTAATGCATATACACTGAGGACGGATAGGCACGAGAAGCAATTAGTGATAGATATGGTACCTGGGAGTGGGACTCAAATTCACCCTACTGTTACAGTTTTAAAGATAACAGTCAAAATATTTTTTACAAGTACCTGGCGGAAAACAAAAACAATAACAAAATTTCGAGGTAAATACGCGTAATTTATTTGACAGATTAGTGATTACGGTAGTTGACGAAAAAGGTTTTTTAAACACAACTCAACTCTATCGTAAAAAAATAGACAGCGTAAAACCATGGGTATATGTAGGTTGATTCCCTTCAATTTTGCGCATTTCTAGCACCCAGAGAAGAAGAAAAAAACGTTCAATTGCTGGAAGTGAGTTCGGCTTCAATTCCCAGAGCAGAGATCAGCAGGACCCATTACGTGGAACCGGCTCATGAGACGTAACACTTCTCCCAGTATTCGCCCTTGTAACCTTCCCTAAACAGGTTTCCAGGCCAGCAGTGAAGTAGTGCCGATCAAAAACCACAATCTGAAATACACGGCCGTATACCCGTGTTTCCATGTACTTATCCGAACCTCATCGCGGTATGTTTTTTGGCGAGACACCACAGACAACAGGGGTTTAATTTACGACCCATTGTTTGTGCAAAAAGTCTGCCTAAAGCATGTATCCGGTGCTGATTCTGCTGTGCGAAGGTGAGCGGAAGGTAGGGCGCCGTGGGTGGCAGGGGCCTGCAATCTAGTTATCATCTATACAGCGACCTAGTGTTGTTTGCAGTTTCTAAAAGCTACTGGCTATGGTACTGTTGTATACATAGTAGTTACTACCCAAGTAATTCGAGAATAGCGTTCACATACGCAACACCTAACGACAAACGTAGATTTAGGCAATAAAAATAAATATTGCCGCGAAAACGCTCGATTAGATCTGTACCTACAAATAAATATGCAATGGTATAAATATCACACATTTCATCGATTGTTTTCTACTCACTGCTGTAGTGCGGCCGCCACTGGTACAGCTTGCCCATGTACGGTTTGGAGTCGAACGCCGTGCATTGTTCTGCCCTGAGGTCGGTCGGCTCGGGACACGCCTGTCAACGCCAGACACATCTGTCACACACACACACACGTGACGAACTGTCATCACACAGTATACTGCCCAGTGGGTCAGACTGGGACGCACTATGGTGTTGTGCGCGCCGGGAAGATGACTGCGATTGAGGTGTCTAACATGTCGTTATAATTTACACATTAATGGTTTAACGTAAACTGCATAAGTGCGTTTGCGATTATCTAAAGATTGTGTCATGTTTATAGCTCCGAATACCAGGTATTTAGCTGTTTTAGATACACAAAACAGGTAAGCAGCGGGATAGTCGGCCAATTTTGATCGTAATGGCGAATTTGACCTTCTCGACATTTTTGTCAAATATTTACAACCTAGTGTTTGCTGAAACATTGAAATGTCAGCCAGTTCATTGCTCATTAGCAGAGATAATGGTACCGTTTGGTACCGTTTTGACAATAACGCATTCATTTCATGTCCAGGCAGTTTATCTTATCTAAGCCATTAGCTCAAGCAAGAAACGTTTCCTGGCGATGGTTATTTGCATAACGTCATTTGGCAATTTGAAGCGGCCAGCGCTGTTTGTCCTGTCTGTCGGCCAGTGTTCTTTATCGGAACTGCAGCGCTCTGTTGTTATCTGTCAATGAATTGGCTGTCAGCACGCGCTCTCTGTCCACTGCCTATGAGCCTCTGTGGTGAATACATCCATCACATTTCGATAAAACAACACGGTGTAGCGCCCCACGATGACACTGGACATGGACGTGTGATTGACGCGGCCCGGCCACCTCAATCTGGCGCGCCGCCTGGGACGTTAGGCTTCTATAGTGTGGACAGACCGCTCAATATGACACTGATGATGACAATTGTGAATGACACCGCCCAGCCGTCAATCTATGATGCTAATGTGGCCGACGAGGTGCGCCGTGAAAGACAGGTGTGCTAAAAATAAACTGATTTTAGGGTGATTGCCGTCTTCAATAGTTTTACTTTTAGCTTCAGTGGCGCCAACGGAAGATACGATGGTATTCGATGGTATGCGATGAACCCGATGGGCGATGGTATTCTCTCACCACAGGAGCAGAGAGTGGGTACCCCATGCGTGACCCACTTTACCCCACCCTCCCCTCCCCTCCCCAGCCCGCCGTCAGGGCGGCCCGGCCCAGGGTGGGGTGGCGTCTTTGGCACCTCGTGGCCAGTTTGTTGTAACATGCCGGCGTGTTTTAGAGGTGCTGAAATGCCGCGCCGGCGCGCCGCCCGCCGGGGACCGTCTCTGGCCGCCACATTAACCTCCCCAGGTCAGGGGGCCGTCCGCCGTCGCCCGGGGCTAAAAGCCGGCCCGGGAGGCAGTCTCCGGTCCGTCATCACCCCCTGATCACGGGGAGGGATGGGAGGGTGGTCGGCGGACCCACACACGGCGCCAGGCCGTCACTCGCCGGCCGGACGGCCCTCACGCACTGAGGGAGGGGAGCTAGCCACGGATAAAACGCACCGACCCCCGGCTCCTGACGCCACTCGGCCGAGTGAGTTATCACCTGAGTGGGCCCGATAGAAAATATCAACACGGAAGACCGCGGCGCGCGTGCGGGTGAGAGTGATCAGACGCGTGTGCGCCAGGGCGACTGACTGACCTGCTCGTTGCACATGTGGAAGCGCTTGTAGACGCCGACACACTGTGTGTTAGAGAGCCGCGTTTTGAGCCGCTTCCGGGTGTGGCTGCGGGCAGGGGAGGGGGGGGGGAGGGAGGTAGGGGGTCACGGGGCGCACTCAACAGACAGACCGCTGCTGCATGACCGCACACATTACCACCGGCTATGGACAATGCCGCACCGTAAACATAACGTGAAGCAGATGATCGTGGAGATGTTAATTTTCCCCCACATCCGATACTGTATGTCTGTGTGGTCGGGATGTGGCGTCGTGCAGCGACACCGTATTCAGAAGGTGATAAACCACTGTGCACAGGTCGTCATGGGGGTCCGACGCTCGGCTCATGTGACGCCTCTGTTGGCAGAGCTATGCTGGCCCCATATAGACAGGATGGTGGCGGAGAATGACTGCAGTACTGTGCATTACTTGTTGAATAATGTTCATGCACCGAAGTGCCTCTCTGAGCGGTTTGTACAACGCAGCGACGTGTCGAGCAGACAGACTCGAGCCACTGAGAATATGCAGCTCGAACTGCCGAGGGTCCGCACCGAACATGCTCGCAAGTTCTTTTATTACCGCGCCTGTGACGTTTGGAACTCGCTGCCAGCAGACATTCGGTCGTCACGCACGTCGGCCACTTGTCGCAGGCGTTGTCGACTATTACTCAATGGTGACTAGTCACTGTGCGCGTAGCTTTCGGTCATTTGTACCGATATGCATTTTACTTTTTAAGTCCCATGCTTTTCATGGTTTTTACTTTTAGCTTAAGTGTTTATTTTAGCTTTATATATGTGCCTACCTATTTACTGTATGACACTTGGACTGAAAAGCCGTGAGTGCATGGAGCTTCCAAACGAAATAAATGATGATGATGATGATCCAAATGGCCCCGGCGCTCAGAATATGCTCCGACCGCCAGCGGACACAATCGTGCCAGTGTTTTGAAACATGACTTGTGTAAACAGGAACATGCGACGAACATATAAGCAATGTCACGCTCCGTAAAACCCACCTGCTCCAAAACAATGATAGTAATGCAAGCCTCAATGGCAGCTCGTGTGTTCTAATTTGAGAGCCAATGTATTGAACTGTTAGGGCATGTATCTTGGACAAATCTTCAAGCTGCTGGTTGTGACGAGTATTGGCGCACCTACCCAGCCGATACTCACTGTTTGAGGCTGCCCGGGTGCGGCGTGCAGTGGCGCGTCTGTGTGGACACTCCACCCCCACAGGGCAGGGAGCAGGCTGACCAGGCGCCCCAGGAGGACCACTCGCCGACATCGGCCCCGTACCGGTGGCGGGCCAGGCGCTCCTGAATCATCTGGTGCACCTGAGACGGCACACGGGGTAGTATAGTTAGTTAGGTCAGTGACGAGGCGAGATGGGGCACATCCCACGGATGGGGGCATGTCACAGACCACAGAACACAGTTAACAAATTAACAACAACATTGATAGTTTGAGCTGTTAATGCTTGGACACACACATCACAAACTTTGGGTAGCGAAACGGTTCAGCCATTTATTATTTGGACATGTCCCATTGGCGACAACATGGAAATAAAAATGCGGACACTGTGGTTGGGGGCAGTCATCAGTAAGCGATTTATCAGCTAATAGCTCAGAGAGAATGCACAGGAACGCGGGTCGCAACTGAGACACATCAGCACCCACTGCCCTGACACAGAAGAACGCCTCCTCAGAGGGCCAGTACAAATCGCTGAGCCAGCGAATCAGACCGACAGGCCGCCTTTATGCAACATGATCCTCTCCCCAGCTGTGCGGGGCGCATCCTCCAAACTGCTTAGACCGAGCATTCCCTGTCGAATGCGCCACCAGTCACTCTGAGCTGCTGAGTCGAGTGCGGCATTCCCAGCAGTTCACCGTGAGGCCAAACAGCGCGCCGGCAGCCGTTCAAAGGGTGGCCGGTGTCACGAGCGCATTACCGACTGGTTTACTCCCGCCTCTTACAGCGCCAGAGTCAACAGACCGCCGCTCACGAGTTCACAGGCGCCTCTTTACAGTCCTCGTACTTCACATGAGTGTGCTCATCGTTCTGGCCCCTTCTACATTCTTCTAAGTTCTTGCTTAACTTCCTCCTCCCGACTCGAATCTCTACCTTCGCCTTACTTTCTCCAGCTTACATTAGAAACACATTGATCACTTTGCATCTCTGGCTTTCAACGCCCCTGAGACGTCAAAAGCAAGCAACACTCTCACATTCTCTCCGAAGATCGATTGGTTCAAAGCGACACACCGCCCTGCCCACAAATTTCCGCAGTTCTGTAAATAGCGTCACGCGCCGTGACTGTCGACGTGCGCCGTGATTCGTCTCCACGTCACGGCGGCTCGGCGGTCGGGCGTGCCGTGACGCTGCTGCCGGCTCCGGGCGGGGGCGGGGGGGGGGGGGGGGGCGGATTGTGGGTGACTGGTTCATGGTCGCCCGCCGCCGCCCGGCTGAATGGGTGTCCTGTGCGGCGCGGACGGACAATGCCGCGCTGTGGGGCGGCCGCCGAGCCGCTGTAGGCGCCGCGCGCAGCCGATTCACTGCAGATAATTGAAATAGCGACGCTCAATGCATGCAGGGCTCAGACGCGCGCGTCACAGTCCCGGGTCATGATATATTTGTTATGATAAGTTAGGCGGGACGCCTGTCGACCTGCTTTCTTGCAGCATGTTCTTTATTGTGGGCGGCAGTCGGGAGCCGGTTCCGCTGCAGTTACACGTGGGAGGCGCCCGTGTGTGCTGTTGCAATGCTCGCAAATAGTCCCAGTGTAAACAGTGAATTCCATGGCCAAACGATTTAGCTGCAGAGAGAGCTGTTTTAGAGCCAGGGCGCGGCTGGCAGGTGCTATGCAGTATGCACTCAGCAGCAGCTATGCACCCACAAAGCGTGCAACTCTTTCCTCTTGACGGAGAAATGCAAAAGGTCGGCGAACAAACAAACAAAATGGTATCTTTGTATGTCGGTGTATTACCCATTAGTTCACTCTTGACTCTTAATGGTTCAAAATTATCTTGGATAGGGGAAGGTGGGGTAAGACGGACCACCAGCCCTCCCGGCTGAACCGCTGCTGGTATCTACTGCTTTATGCACTCATTATGTTTGTTTTCCTTCGTAACAATGGCCACCTTGAGCTCATGCTGCTAGGATGCATAGCTTTTGAGTTATTGAGAAAAATGTAGTTTTTCGTCAAACCGATCTAACATAAGAGGTCTACGGGTGATTCAACTACGGCGCCTTTCTTGCATGATTAGTTTCTATTTTGCACTTAACTGTGAAGATCAAAGTTATAAACTTAGTTATAGTCACACTTTAGGAAAGGCAAGGTTTCGCAATGTTGGGCTATTTGACATATACGTCATGATAATGACAGAATTTAGATTTGGGGCAAGACGGACCACTGTGGTCCATCTTACCCTGTGGTGGTCCATTGTACCCTGCATATGGAAAGTTCTTTTCCAAAACATTGACACAAGTTTCAGTAAGCTAATTTTTCATGAAGGAGTCTTTGTTGCATGTGAGCCATGCATGCAAGTGCTCAGTTAGCATGCATTCATGCCAAACGACAATCAATCAACACACATGTTCCCAGCTTTTAGCTGCACTTCCATCACACATGAGTAAAGAATAAAGGCTCATTTTGTTATTTTACCATTCTGGTTACTTTTTCTCACAAGAGTACAGAGCAGAAGTGTAACTCACATGAACGGATAGATTAGCAGGCACTGCTGGGTGGTCCGTCTTACCCCACATTTTTTCTTGTCTGAGTTTTTGACATGTCCCTCTTTAAGAACATCCACCACCTAGATGTCTTTAATTTGAAATTTAGTCCTTACACATATCAACAGAGGAAGGATTGAGCATTCCCAAGACTATAAATAATATGAATTAAGAGAGCAGTGTAGCAAGATATGCGGCCTCAAACCTCAGCTGGTCCGTCTTACCCCACCTTCCCCTATGTGTTTCATGTTTGATTTCCAAATGGATGTGGTCGCAAGAGAGGCACACACATTACACACGCTTTGATACATGTGACAACCTCTGTTACATGGCTGTCACCTGTAACGCTATTAATCTCATCAACAAAGCCAACAAATCATAACATATTTGGTTCCAGCTTTTAATCACGAAGCGCTGCAAGTACCCTAACTAAGCTGGCGTCTCGTGTCCAGCCGAGCACCTATTTGTCCCTTCCCAAAACGGTCACCGCGCCGGCTATGAATCACGTCAATGGACACGCTGTGACCGCAGTGTCATTGGGGAAGGAGGAGGCGCCTTCCGGTGATATTAATCAGCCAGGGCGGGCGGCGCGGTGACCAGTCGTGGGAGGGAGGTTTGGAGACGGCAGGTATGATCGTGGAATGGATAGGAGGGATATCAATGCAGAGGGATAGGTGTCTGGTGGGGGAGGAGAAAGGGAGAAAGAGGCGGGACGGAAGGGAGAAGAGAAGGAAGAAGAAAGAAGCAGTCTCAACTACTCTCCCCACAAGCCGACAAATGGTGGCTGGTTTGCCCCGCGTTCCTCACACGGGTCCAAGACCGATACCCTCACTGGAACCGTACCGTGTTCGTTCCATGGCGGGCTGACGGTGCCACCACACATACACTTTTCATCGCGATATGCTCTTGTGGGCCGGCCCAAAAACGACCGGCCCGTGCCGAGCCGATGGCACCCGTGTCAAACGGCAGATTAGCCGCGGATGCTGACAGCCGGCATACGTGGGCAGTCATTAATTTGTCGCATTTTTAACCGTCACAGACGGGTGCCCTTTGCAGGCCGTGGCTAATGAAGACGCCACGATATGGCCGAGTGCTGGCTTTAACGAATAGACTGAGTGATAGCGTTATGGCGATGGAGTACATACAGCAGCCAGTCTTTATAGAAACAGTTGATTTAATACATTACATTTGAATAACCATACAGCATGGCACCTAGTTTGATTGGGTTCGATAATAATCGAAATGCACTTCCTTCAATTTAAATAGAGTTGCTATTTATGATAAATTAGTTATGTGCGTTTTAATTAGAAGTTAGTGTAAAATAGCGGGAAGACCGGGTCATTTTTGAACAAAACGGAGCAGAAGCATTCCTAATGACAGATTGGCATCTCTGTTATCTATTTGATCTAAAGCATACATCAGCATTTACGCCCGCCTGCCCATATGTCGTCGAATCAGATATGAGGTCAGTAATTTCACATATATACCCGTACAGCAGGCGCCAGTTTCAAGTCTAAGCATAGAACTATCGCTGCAATTACACATTTAAGACGCATTTATCGATGTTTTCCAGTTTTATCCATGTCGTATCTGCATAACTGCGATTTGAGCTATCAGAAACACGGATTGATCCCGAGAGTCAGGGCGGAATGAGCGCCAGTGTTTGGCAGGCTCATTCCAGCGTGTTACTACCGTGCTTACTTTTCCAGCAGCGCTCATGGCGCATGCATCACCAATTTATGAATCAACCGATACTCGAAGCAGTAAGCATGGATTCTAAACTGAATATTCATGGTCTAACCGGCAACGCTTCGTGATCCCGCCGTGAAGCTCAGGAAGTAATGACTCAAGAAATATCAGCCAATCCTACACAAAGCCTCTGATACGGTCTATGCTCGGTTTCTGACGGGTGTAGGTGAGGGAGTGAGCCTCAGTCACCCTGCCCCACCGATCCAGGGGAGCTGGCAGCCCCGCAGTAAACCTAGCCGGATAGGTAACGGAGTAAGGCGGCCCGTAAAAACGGGTTGGCTGGTCAGTCACTGCACCGGGCGAGCCGCCGCCGCCGTCTCTGTCGGCTGCACGTGCCGACAACTGACCGGTCAGGAAGGCACGGGCGCCCGGACCGACTGCCCAGCAACGACGAGCTTACACACCACAGAGGATGGAGAGATGAAGCAGCAGATAATGTGCACCTGCGCAGTATGTGCAATGTAATCTACGCATCAAATAAAAAAAAAACGTTCTTTATTGAAATTTCAGCTCTACCTTATCCTATTCACTAGGTCAACCAGTAGGGGAAGTTGGGGCAATGCCGGAGTTGGGGCAAAGCCGAAATTCGAGATATTTCGAAAACCGTAAGACATGGATGCCACCTGTCAGTGATGCTCTGAAGCTTAAAGGAAATAGTTCACTTTCACGAAATTATTTTTTTGCAACGATTTATGATTTTTATGTTCAAAATAATCAGCAAAGAAAATAAAACCTTTTATAACAAAAGATTTTTTTCTATATTTTGATATAGGAAGAACTTTTCAGTTTCTGTAAGGCACACGCGATCCAGTATGAAAAGAGCATGGGTCCCGAAAATTCTTCAGAAACAGAGAAATTATCGCAGCCACCGGCATTTGGGCGATCTGCTCGATCTGATAATGTTCCCCTGAATGTCCTAATTGATCAGTACGAGAATTTCTCTAGAGTTCTCGTAGATAATTTCTCTAGTTTCTGAAGAATTTTCGGGACCCATGCTCTTTTCATACTGGATGGAAATATATGCAAGGCACACATCCTCAACGCAAGACACCTTTTTCGGGACGAGAAATAGAATATCTTTGCCTAGGGTGATCGTTGGGCTGTAAAAGCTCCTGATTTATGCTCGTCTCAGCCTAAGCTACGGAACTGCTATTCCAGTTCAAAACCCATGTTAAAAGTGAACTATTTCCTTTAAGTGACTACAATTATCGCATGTTTGTTACGAGTCGTCATTCGGAATACTTCGGCTGGGAGGGCGCCAAGAGCGTTTTCAAGGTACGCGTTCCTTGTACTACATGCGCCTTTGAAGCTGCATTTCTTACTCATTATGCTACCGTTTGTCTGGCCAATTCGGTCAAGTAATCTTCAGCATGTCTTTGCATAAGTGTGCTGCCTATTTGAAATTTATACGGCACGCTGAAAAGTTATGGGCCTGCAAATGAAAGTATGGCTGGCTGGGGTAATGCCGAAAACGTGCAATTACGCACGTTAAAGCACGCTACGTGGACTTTACTGCTGTAGAATAGCAACACGAATTTTTAGTCACACAAACTACACTTTCAACCGACACAACGGCCTGTTACCTATAAGGAATTATTTACCTGGCATTTTCTTATTATATCACACAATTATAACTTCCAGTGTGCACCAAGCGTCCTCAAGCTCTTAAAACGCGTGTCAGCTTTGATAAATTCTGGATAAAGTTTGAGATAAAGTGGCAAAACATCAATGTCGGCATTCCCCGTAGATCATTTCTCCCATTTTCGGCTTTCCCCGCAGTCCGGGGCAACGCCGAAAAAGTCACTTCTTTGATATTTTTAGTTTGTGCGCTTAACGGTATGCGAATTCATCAAATGCGCCTGGTATGTTTGAAAGGCAAAAGACTGGCCTCTCGAATGACGCCAACAAGAATAGCTTATGTTGTCTACCTTGCGTGCTACGGGCGTCAGAAAAAAAGTATTCGGCGTTCCCCCAACTTCCCCTAATTTAATAACTTTTCGTAGTTGACGGCATATTGGATTGGAACTGATCAGTCACCTATCATCCAGCCATCCCCGTCACTAAATCAGCTCCACGTGGTGCATTTATCACCGGCTGAGCTGAGTTCATATCGTGGTGTGAGCCAACAGTCGCTCCTAATTGTATCTTGTTTGCGTTCGGTTGGGACGGACGCCGCCATCAACAATCAATCGGCACCTTTAATTGGTATGCCGCCCACTGGATACCTCACTGTTTACGATCGCACTATTTGACTGGAGAAAAATGCAGCTCGATGTTCAACGGGCCACGGACTGCGCTGTTGAATGACGTTGAAGCATTGTTTTAAATAAAAAGGCGTATATCAAAATTATCGATATCCCTGCGCGCGTCTTTTTATTCCTGGCTGGCCATCCATACCCAGAAATCGGTCGTTCAAATTGAAAGCCTAACGACCAGGCGCCTCTCTATCACATCGTTCATCAGGTGAGACCCCCTCGGGCGTATTGCAATACGCGCTGCAACAGCACTCATGGATCAGCGGGCGGAATGTCTACGGTCCGCTGACGCCAGCGTGCCACAATGTTTGCACAGAGCCGAAATAATGCCATAAAATAACACCCAATACTCGCATATCACTGCCCGTTCATAAATGGGGTGGCTGGGCCATCAATACATCATCGTCGCCACTACCGCATGTTTTATGCAAGCGAGCGGCTCTGACGAATGTTGCAGCATTGGACTCAAATAATCAAAGGGTCCGCGCAGCTCGGACGCGTGACCCGGCACAAACTGCAAACGCGAGAATGGCTCGCCAATGAAGCATTGGCGAGGCGATGCGCCACGTCTTGAGCTAGCAATGCAGCTCACATTCCTTCCGAAAAAAAAAAACAACAGCTCGAGTTGATGTTCAGGAGTATCCTGCAGCCCACACTATCGAGCGATTGGCGGCTGTAGCGCGCGTCATGCTCAGTTACTTCCGAGGGCCGGGTGCCGAGGTCGACCTTGATGAGGCGCCTGTGGTGGCCGGCGGCGACCGGTCAGGAAGGAAGCGAGCTGATCAGCTGAGCGCAGCCGTCCTGAATACGGGAGCGGGCCGGCCGCGCTCCACTGCGCGGGTAGGTGTGATGCCCCGGCACTGAACTACGTCAGCCAGCTGCCCGCCATTCAGAAGTCTCCACATAGCGCAGGCTGCCTAAATAATTCAGCGCGACGGACAAGGACTCGGCTGTATCTGTCCCATGCTCCCAATTGCCAATTGCGACTTTCGCTTCTAAATCATCTCATGAAACAGAATTGTCAGGGAAGCCGGTAGAAGCTCAGGTACATCTAAAAAAAACTCACCCAGTCTAAACAATAAATCATTTAATCACGATTACTGTCGAGTTTCACGACAAAAAGACATTCAGCAGCAGCTCAAAACAGACTTCCACCAGAATGGCTGTTTTAGCAACTGCGTTGTTCTACATCATCAATATGAAGCCACTTGGCCACTGAACGGGCGGCAATATTCAAACTGCGTTAGCCCCTCCATCCATTACCAATAGTGTTCTCGCGCCTCACGCCGGCGTGTCTGTCGGCTCCTTTAGAGGACACCGCCACTGTTTGGCGGACCTTTTTTATCGGGGGACGGTGAGTGGCTCGTTAGAGGGATGGAAAACTCCTTCAACTGGACGCCTGTCAACAGGCTATAGCGCGCTGGGAACAAGCGACGCGCAGATGCAGCGTCACCAAACACCGGACTAATGAATGTCGCAACACGGCTCGGCAGACGTCCGCTGCCGACCGATCGACACGGGAAAACTGGCGGCAATGCCGCTCACGGGACCGAGCCGGCCATTTTTCAGGATAGAGCTGTCATTGACCGCCAGATTCTGTCAGATGCAGACGACGTTATTAAGCTGCTTGACGGGAACCCGAGACAGACATTCAGGCATTACGAAAAAAAGAACAATTTCACGCAGCGCTGGCTTAAAAAGTTGACACATTTTCCTTTTCGTTTGGCACTTGTCTGATAAATCATGCAGACAGCGAATGGTCGCATTTATTTCACATGTCGAATCGAATGAAGCCCAGCTCACGTTGCGTTGCAGACTATTAAGCCGTACTTGGTTGGGAACAATTTTTTATGCCAGTGAAGATAAGTCGAATGCAATAACCGAATTATTCCAGGCTATAACTCCCTGCCCTGTAGCAGACAGACTCGTTCTATTTCAGACGGATCCCCGACCCATCGCCCAGCACGGAGAACCCCCGCGCCCGACGGCGCCGGCCCGCCCATGACGCCGATCCCTCAGCGCCACCGATGACGGCAGCGTCATCAGGCTGTCGATGACGCAGCCGTCATCACGCTGACTCAGTCGGTGACGCTGCAAAACAAATACGTACTGCCGTCAAATAAACACGTGCGCGGCCGGAGGACAATGCGCCGAGCTGAGGTCACCGACACCGGCTGACCTGGCGACCCGGTGGGCGGTCCGCAGCCACTGCCGGGCAGCTCCTACAGCCTTTACAGGCCAGCTCTCACCTTCTCTGGGTATTTCCGCCTGCCGTGCACGCAGATGAGGAACACCAGCAGCGACCCGAGCACCGGCAGCGCCCTGCGAATGGAGAACAGACGTCAGAGAACAGCTGAGAACACACGTCAGTGAACAGCTGAGAACAGACGTCAGCAATTGGAGGATAATAGACGTCAGCGAACGGAAACAGACGTCAGTACAGATGGGATGGCGTCAGTGATCAACGGAGAACAGACGAACGCGATCAGAGAAGAACAAATGTCTGCGTCCGGGGAAGAACATCTGGGACACAACGAAGTGGGCCGGCAAACCAAAAACGCGTCAGTTTAGCCTACTCTTGGAACTAACCGCACTTCAGCAAATCTACCCAGAACCGGGAAGAGATACACCGCTAACCAGGAAGTAACAAAGTTGTTTCATCACCTGCACCGATCCACCCAATCTCATCCCCGAAATCATTCATTAAGCCCGCTTCATATCGCTCCGATGACTGAGGGAATGGCAGATGCAATTCATAATCCCTGATCGGTTCCAGCTCCGCACGTGCGGGTCTCACATCGTAAGTAGCACGTGAGCCGTCTCTGTCGACAGCCAACATCGAGAGGATGCCAGCCGTCGGCGGCGACGGAAGATCGTCGGGCTATTTTCAACCAAAGTCGGCACAACCCTGTATATTGTGCCAGGCCGGGACGGTGAAAGACTATACGCCGCCGGCCTCGGAGAATATTATTTGAGCCGGCACCGGCGAGTTTTATTTACAGACCCAGCCGACGAAAATTAAGGCAAAACACGTACGTGACCCTCACGCGCGGCGGTCGGCGACGTATTTCGGACACGGGGGCTGTTCGACCGGCAGTGACGTCAAGCGGAGGTCAGTGGAGCGGCTCAGGGGCGGCTCTTGGGCGGCAGGGGAGGCAGGGGAGGCAGGGGCGACCCTCGCGGTGACCGGCGCTCGTCTGTCGGCGCACAGCCCGCCGCCGTGATGAGCGGACCAGGTGTGAGTGACACCAGCCAGCGGCCGCCCGAGCTGTTTGCTTTTACAGCGTTTCCGCGAAGGGTTTCATGTCGGAGGAGCTTGAAATTCCTGGCGCTCATGGATGTTAGAAGAGCGGTAAATTTTCGGTGAGAGTTCCTGGAATCTGTCATTCAGTCACTCAACATGTTCTGGGGCGTTATATGACAGCGAAATTGCTTTCGCCAGCACCTTTAGCCCACATCAGAGGTCTCTTTCATATTCTTTCAATTAGAGCACACATGGAGAAAAATAAACTTTCCATGAATGGATTCATTCAAGACTCGCTGAAGTATGATTTATGGATTGCCCATTCGGACTCTTGATGCAATAAAACGTCAAATCGTTTGAGCATTGAGAAGCTCTCGCTGAGATATGCGCAGCGTGAAGCTTTTAGCTGACAATCAATAACCCTGGAAATTAATAAATGTGTCTGGGATCCAAGGATACTACGAGGGTGTCATGAGCCATAACTTCTTTAGATTCTGTGCGGCGGCGTTACTTCAAAGACCCCCGACTCGGGTTACCTTTTCTGGAATTGCCGCCGCTACCGCTCGGGTGCCGGGCGACCATTGGCACCTCGTCAGCGGATGGCTCTCTGATGGTACCGGGAGCCGGGCGCACCCTCGGCCACCACCAGGGTCGGCCGCGGCCGCACCTCTCAGCGGGCCCGCCGCCCACCCCGCCACCACCGTCCCTGGTTAGAGCCCCGGCCCAGTCACAACCCGCCGCCGCCCACTGCGGTCAACAATGCAGCCGGGCCACCGCCTTCCCAGCCCGGAGTACACAGTGAGGCGGGCCCCAGCACCCCGTCTAGACAGGTCCTCAGAGAGTCACGGAGAGGCCCGACCCTGCACCGAGACAGCGGCGTCAGCCCCGCCGTCAGTCACCGCAGAATGGGGCGTTCATCACTCTGTTGGACCGCCGGCCGACCGCGCAAATAAACCCGCGGAGCGCGCGCCACTACAAGACGCGCAGGGCTCACTGGGTGTGACACATTGACATTGTGACACGTGACGCGTGCCGATGTGACGTGACATCACGCGGTGATGGGTGACTGAGTGACGCGGTGACCGGGTGACGGAGCTGTCAGCGGTGACAGCTCGGCTGCAGGGCTGTCAGTCTACAGGTGACAGGTGACAATGACTAAGGCGGGCGGAAAGGATAGCACGAGGTGGAGCATGAGGAATGGGATAGGATGGGAGGCAAGACGATACTAGTCTTCTAGCCGAGCTGGAACAGATAAGACCGGACGGGATGGGGAGACAGGACGACACGGAACAAAACGTCATGCGATGAGACGAAGCGGTTACTGGAGTCTGGACTGGATGACACATCACAGACCTACTGAGGGACCGGCTGAGACCGGTTGACTGTCGGGCCATGTATGGACCGTCTCCGCCGCCCGCCGCTGTCGGCTCGGACTGCCCTGATTGCCGCCTAGTGTGGGAGGGCGTCTCTCTCCGTCAGGGGATACTGCTCTCCCGCTGACCGGCCGTCCGCCCACACAGCCCACATTCCGCAGTGGACGGGCGCCCTGCACCAGCACAGGTCGCCGGGCCGCGGAGCAGACCGGGCCGGGCCGCCGTCCGAGGTCGGCACATAGCAGCGTCCTACCCGCGGCAGGGCGGCCAACCGTCTCAGGCATGGATCATGTGAGAGGTCTCTGACAGACCTCATCCGACAGACTGGGGCTCCAGACTAGACTATAGTCGGAGCAGTCAGCAGAGGACTCTGGAAACGCCACTGAGCTGCGCCCGGCTGGTCAATCACATTCCGTGGGTCCTAGTACGAACGGGTCGTGTACGGCGTGCGCGTGTACCTAATGATGTGGTGATTACTGCAAGAACGGGAGGTCAGGTTACTAAGAACCTAGCTAATTACCAATGAGAGATTAGGTTACTTAGTCACTTAGCTACGTGGCTACCGAAGAGTTACCACTCGGCTACTGCCCGCTGGCATGCAACTGTATGATGTATTAAAGGTTAAAGGTTAAAGGTAACTGTATGATGTATTAAAGGCTACCCCCTTATGCAACAACACGTCGGAATGTTTCGGCGAAAGGAAATGCTCACGGCTGTCAAAACTTCGAGTCCTTGATAATGGCATTACAGTGCATCCACGGATCAATATTGCATTGGTTGAACAGTACTGCCGGCTATGAGACTACGAGAAGGTTATCTGGCTACGAAAAAAAAATCTATCTGAACCCAAATAACGCCCAATGTGGACCACTATATGCTCTGCTCCGAGTGATTGCCTAGGTAACCTGCGACCCCACTCCCCCTACCCATGGCTGTTGGGAGTTTTATAGTGTCCCGCACTCAATGAACCCTCCTCTTAAAGCGACGGTATTTACGGCCACTCTGGGCTGCAGAGAGCGATACGAAAACATCCGCTCTCTTTACCCACTGATGGTCGGTGACGTACCGACGACGTGACGTGGCGTGCGAGGGACGTGACGTGATGAGGGGTCACGTCACGTATAGCGAAGGCCGTCGATTGACCATTACCAAAGCAGCGCAGTTATTGCTCTACTGCTCCAGTAGCCAGCATAGGTCAGAAGTCCGGCAACAAGTTGAGAACAGCAGCGGCATAGCGTTGCTGTTCTCAAGAGAAGGCTGTACAGTCGCGTGATTGGGATCACGAAATGACCGAGAGCGAATAAAATTACATACCTTTCCGCCCGTGAGGCAATGCGACCACTGCCAATCATGACATTCGTATTTCATACCGCGCTGTCAGTGAGGTTGTCGCCACACGTAATGACGCCTTTGGGCCGGACCCTCCCTCCCGGCCCGGTCGACCCGTCCGTCCATGACCCGCAGGTGCGACACCCTATATTTTATCCGGAACGCCGTGCGCACCGATCACGTGCCTTTTATTGTCTGCGGACACGGCACGGCTGTGTCATAGAGGTCACGACACTGGCACACCGACACACTGCACCACCGTCTGCTCAGCGCTGCACGGAGCTGTATGATCAGCCGTCCTTGATCCGTGGCATGTGGCTGCCTTTTTGATCCCGCGATCCGTCCGCGACACTGCATCACAATGGCCCGCGGTCGGCGGCGGCGACGTTAGGTGCATGTGGCGGCCACATCTGCAGCCCGGCACGGCGCACCGTGGGGACTAATGCCATCCTAGCACGCATTAAGTGGCAAGTTACAGTATTTCGATTTCCACCTTTTTGTTATTCATTCCACGTAGAATTGTCCAGCGCATCCGAATCACACCTTAAATCGTCTGTAAAATGATTGTTTATGCCTCAAAAAACCTCTCAAAGTGTAGCTTCGTCCTGACCAGCGTCATGCTACCTGCATACAGCGAAAAGGCACACTACAATAAAACGCCCTCTCACTCGTTTCCCTGAACAGCAGGTTATAGTTGCGACATGTTTTCATTATCTTTGACTTATAAGGAAGATGATGGTATGCACGAAAATTTCCAAAATTCATCCAAATGTATAATTTTAGACCGAAATGCTAAAAATGTTAAAATGCTTCTTGATTCAGAGAGTTGACAAGCAAACTATTGCCTTACAAAGTTTGATACGCGGTGTTACGCGTGGAAATGTATATCAAAATGTTCTCCAATAATTTCTGCATCGGGGGCAGCTCTCATTTTTTGCCGAAATTTGCCTAAACCAGTCACTATGAGACGTCAAAGCAGACGGTACCGCGTGGTTTCTTACGCCCCGCCGGGCCGCGCCGCGGCGGGTTACCCGACCGCAGCACACCGCCTGGGGTTTCCGGTCAGTATAGGAGTTGGGAGGAGGGAGGAAGGGGGTGATACTATGTTGACATTATTTTTCTATCGCCAAATGTTCTTTTTGAACAAAACAACAACACCCTTGCAACGCTGCATCCATTTTATTGGCTATCGCCGCCAATGTTCACCTTATTGAACTTCAGTACAGAGCTTTGATATAGGTAAATCGAAAAAATGCTGTAACTTTGTAAAGTGAGGTTGGAGGTTTTGGGGTGCTTATCACGAATTTCAAGCTAGTTTTGATCAAGGATGATGTTTTCATGCTAGGCCGGGTCAGGTCAGGCCCGACCAGTAGGTG